AATTCAGGAAAATTCTTGTAAAATCGGGTCCGCGGCGCGGATCAGGTCGGCCGCGGACGCGGACCCATCTGCGTCCGCCATCCGAGGTCGGGCCCGCGGACACGTCCGCGGGTGTTTCGTAGGATGCAGCGACTCTCCCGGCCTCTGAGGAAACATCTCTTGACAAGGTACGCAAAAACGACAGAACTTACTGACCGTCTCCATCATTCCATCCCAATAGTACAACTCGCTTATTTTGGCATACGTGGCACTAACTCCTCGATGTCTTCCCGCAATACCATCATAAAGCGCAACTATAATATCGATCTGACGGCTCCTGCCACACACAACTCTCTTGGAGTTTTCCACTTGTCTTTTAACAAAAAGATAACAATCTCTCACCAAATAGAGATGCCTCATCTTTTGAGCCCTTTCGCTTGCGGCCCTATCCCCCATCTCATATGATAGGAGAAGTCCCAACTCCAGGTAGATTCCATCATACTCCTTCATTTGGAACGCCTCTTTGATCTCCCCTTCCTCAAACTCGTCATCCAAGCTTTCTGGCACAACATCTTCATTCCCAGTTGGATTCAACGAGCTTATCTGATTAAAGTTCCCTTGCAGAAGCGTATTGACGAAGAGGTACATCCCTCCCAACAATTCCTCGTGCTTCTCTACCTGGTCTGACCCTTCCTCTATCGTTCGCACCTCCTTCATCAGACTATGCGTACCTGCCAGTGCCAACTTCATCATCCATTCGACACCCTTGCCGCCCCATGAGACTTCTTCCTCAAAAGGCTTAAGTACCAGCTCTGCCTTTTGCTCATATCCCCTTGGTGCAAGCCAAATAGGATGACCAACGGAATTCGACACTCACAAGGACCATTCATTTATATGAAGACGAACGTCTTCTTCTTGATCCAGAAACCCATCAACCGGGGGGCCAGCCTCTACTACCTTCTCCTTCTGTTGGTCCCAGTCCATGCGGCTCAACACATTCGCTCTATTTTTGTTCCCAGGGATTCTTTCTAGCTCAAAGTTAAACATCCAGATGTACGTCAACCATTTGGCGACTGTAGGATCCGATGGAACATATTTCCTTAATGAGTAGGCGATCGTGATTGGATTCACCCTTAATATGAACCTCCTGCCAAAGATATAATTCCGGAAGATCCTTAGGCAATAAAGGACAGCGAGAAATTCTCTCTTGAACTGAGAGTAATTTCTCTCAGTCGTATTAAGTGTCCGACTCTCAAACCTCAATGGCCTCTCGTTTCCTTCAACATCTGTCAGAATCAGGACTCCTCCCAAGGCAGGTTGTCCAGCGTCCGTTTCAACGACGAATGGTCTTACCTTCGTGGCATCATAGTCTGGAGCTCCCAATACTAACCCTCCTTCTCGAAACTCCGCCATCCTAGTCATACCTTTTCCTGCTCCTCACCACAGATCCATTTCCGATCTTGACGAACCAACTTTCTCTAGTGCTTGGTCTTGGAGGCAATATTCTTGACAAAGGTCCTCCAAAATCCACAGGCGTCGAGGAAGCTTCTAACATCTATTATCGAATAGAATGGTACTGTCCATTCGATAATCTTGTTCGTCTTTTTCACGTCCGGTCGACGATCCGTCTCACTATAGACGAACCCTAAGATGGTAGCCTTCCTCATGCAGTGTCTGGATTTGGCTCCACTTGTCGTGAGATTGTGCTCCGCAAGCAAGCTCATGACTTTATCAAGATTCTGGATGTGCTTCCAGACAAAACGCCTTACTCCCGGCAAGACTTCGTCATTCTCCTTCTCTGTCGACCCTTTCACTGCCAAGTGATCGATATATGGCTGGGTAATATGCGGGCTGACTGTCTGCATGACTCGAATCATATGTCGTTGAACCATCGCCACTGCATTAGTCCACCCTTGCGGAGCCACATTCATATAGATCAGGTCTTTAGGTGTATGCATCACCGTCACCGGCCTGTCTGGTGGGTAAACTAGAAGCTGGTCGTACCCCGAGTAGAGGTCTATAAGTGAAATTATAGGTCTTCCAGCACAGGACTCTGACAGCGCGTCTGCATTCGGCAAACCTCCCGCATCTCGCGCAGTCACCGCTTTCAGTTGTTGCAAATCTTGCACCCACCGCAACGTCCCATTAGGCTTCACAATATAAAACCATGGAGATGCATACGACCCACTTAAGTAGTCGGTGACATGCGTACGTATCTTGTCGTCGAGGTAATCCACCACCTTTTTTTTTTCGTTAGGGTTAGGATACCGTGCGCCTCTCAAATTTCATGGCTCATGTGGCACGGTATGAATCCGGATAATGGGGATCTTGTCCACATCCAATCTTCCGCGGTGATCGTCATTGAACGCATAGGCGCGATGCCTCTTCTTCGTCAGCTCTATCATTAGCGCCCTTTCTCGAGGTAGCAGGAATTCCGGCTCTCCCACTATCAACTTCTCCTCATTCCCTTTGTTGATACGGAACGGCCTCACCACCGCTTGCTCCCTCATACGTCGTATTAATCCTCGTTCCCGTTTGTAATAAACCTCATCATCTTTCGTGATGAAAACGGGAACTGGGCGGCACTTCGTCTCTATTGTCTTGTACCGCCTTTGGGAACCCTGCTTGAGTCGTCCCCTAAAAAAGACCGGCTTACTGCTTGTGCCTGCATTAACGCAGGGTCCCTTTTGGGTCACACAGGATCAGAATCAGTGTTCCGTCATGTTTGTTGAACATCAACGTCTCTATCCTACATAGGAACGACCTCCCTAAGAGGATGGCATGATCCACGTCTGGCATGACGAAGAAGCAAGCTGTGGCCTTTACTCTCCCAATTTCAATAAGTACATTTGACGTTGTCCCACAAAATACGGCTTAGCAGTTAGCCCCGTGCAAAACGCCGCAATCCGAGCGGTTTATTTCCAACCCAAACCTAAGTGTGTCAGCCTCCTTGATGATATTCATTTTTGCCCCTGTATCCACCATTGCTGCGCACTTCGATCCCTTCACCACCAGATTCACCATTCCACAGGCCACGCACTTCCAGTCCATCTTTGTCTCAGTCTCCACCCATTCCGCCTCCTTTGGCAGAATCACGCTTAGATAGACATTTGACACTAAGCGTCGAGAGAGCCTTCCCTTTAGCTCGTTGCGGAGCTTAGGAGCAGACGTCAGGATCTCTTTCAAGGTCACAAGGTCGTTATGACCTTCAAGTAACCTATCGATAACCTTCTCCACATCAAACCCTTCCTCCAACCGGACCGCATACTTATTTCTCTTCGGCGCAGCATCGAGCAAAATTGGTTTGGCTTCCTCCTGGGCTCCCCTCTTCTTGGCCCTTTGCTCTGCCCTTCGATCCTGCTCTTGACGTATCCTCTCATCTTGCTCTTCCTCATCGTCATCCTCCTCTACTTCCACGGCCTCGTTCCTTCGCTCTGACTCCGGCTCCCTTCGAGGGGGTTCTAAGCTGGCGCTTGCCTTACTCTGGCCTCTCGTTTGCGCAGCTTGCGCCATTCTCCCTTGCACAGTAGGGGGCCTGAAGGTCATTCCAGACCGAGGCCCTGATCCCACAGTGACTACTTTAGGGTAGCCTTGCCGTCCAGGTACTGACTCAGGGCCGGATTCATAGAGGAAAACTTTAGGGATGTTGTCCCTCCATTCCCTCACTTCTTCGCATATACCTACCAGCTTTCGCTGGTATCGGCTCATTTTCTCCCACAAGTCCTCCATTTCCCCCAGAAGGACTGATGCTGGCTCCACTTTTTCATTTTCACTTTCTCCGTTTCACTCAACGACTGTGGGTTCTTCCTTTATAACTCCTGCCTGTTGCCTCTGAGTTACCTCTTCATCACTTTCCACCTCTTCCACCCTAATTGGTGGGTCATCCTTTTCTTGCCACAACCTGAACGTGGCGGGTGGCGCTTGTCGCGCAACTATCCTTCTTTGAGCCTCTGCCCGCACCCCGCCTGGAACCTATCGATCGATATACTCTCCGAACTGATCGTATATATCACCATTCATATTGGAATAGATCAGTCCGGCCTTCTCATCGTCCCGTCTTGTACTGCAGAGCCGTATTGTATGACCTTGCCTATCAAAATGCTGGCAAATAGCGGTTCTCCAATCAAAACGAGGTCTTCCATATCCTTGACCTCCTTGGTTCCCTTGATTCCCTTGGCCTTGGTAGCCCTTTGTCCTCCTCGGCCACCGCCATTCCTGCCACGTCCTCTTCCGCGCCTCTTCCTCCATTCCCGTGATTGCCCTGACTTTGATTGCCTCTTCCTGCCACGCTACCCTGTGAACTCGGCGCGGGCGATGGAGATGGTGTCATGGGTTGGGCTTGAGCTGCAGGATGGCTTGGCGGTGGCATACTCGCTTATGGCCCAGCGTACGGTACCATCTGCCTAAATGAAGTTGGACTTCCCATGGCACGAAAGTGTTAAACACGGGTCATGGTCACTGCCCATATAGCGGTATCGTCGCTTGCGAGGGCCCTGCGCTGCTAGACGGAGTCGCCGTACTTGTCGGTGCTGCTACCAATGCTTGGGGCGCTTGCCCTTTTCCGGAGCCTTACCCTCCCTGCGATAAGTTGCGCTATTTGCGCAACGCCTTTGAAAGGTGCTGGGGTAGGGAGGACGGCTTCCTCTACAACGGGCTCTTTCGTTTTCCCTTGGATCGTCGTCACCACTTTCTTTTCTATCACCGCATCTTTCCCATAACCCAATTCCACAAGCACATCGGTGACGATCCTCTTCACTCTCGGGGTCCCTGAGGCGTTCGCATCCCGTTCCTTCTTTTTTCGCCTTTGCTGGCGCATCTGATATTGCTCACCTGATCCAGACTTCCTTCCTTTACCCCTTTATCAATAGTGGCTCAGGTGAGCTTCGCACTTCCTCCTCCATGGCTTGTCAGCTCTGCAGCTTCCAAGGCAGTGAGCAGTCTTAGGAAGATGGCACATTGCGCCTCCTCCGAGATCCCAGGGACCTTCCTCGCCTTCTTCTTAAGTTCTTGCACGAAGGCTCCCACCGTGGTGAGGTCATCCATGTTCATTGCCTTCAAGTCCGCAGTGGTTAATAGGCCATCACCCAGCCTGTACTTCCTCTGAATTCCATCCTTGAATCTTGCCCAACTACCGTTGGCTGCATTTATCACCTTCTCCAGCTCCTGGTGGTGCCCATGGAGTACGTACTTCAGAATGCGTTGGAATTTTACTGTATCCGATAATCCCACAAGTGCCTGTTCCACCAACTCCAACCATTCTAAACCTTGCTCCCCGTTAAAATGGAAGGTGTTGACTTTTGGGACATTGCTCTGTAACCTCTCTCGCCGGTCCAGGGCCTTGACCAAATCGTCAATTGTCAGGACCTTCCCAACACCATCAGCTATGCCTCCCGACATCTTGGCCGAATTTCTTATTCCAATTCTCTGTTAAGAAGAGGGGAAAAAAAACTTTCATTCAGCATCCTGACTTACCCTGACGTTCATCAGGTCCCCTACATAATCACGTTAGCGGTCCAGATCTAATAATACTACTCATTCCTTCCCTTTGAACACATCTACGTAAGTCCTACTTCCGTTATAGGACTCCCTCTTTGATCCTTTAACTCGATCAATCAATCAGATCAAAGATAAGACTTATTACATTATTAACGCTCATCCATCATAGACAGTCTAACAAGGCATCACATACTTTGTCTTTTCATATACACTTATTTCCAGTTCAATCCCATACCCAGATGTCGTTCCACCAAGGATAACGGTAGGCTTCCGTTATCCCGGGCAACGGCGCCACCTGTCGAGCGCATCGGTCCAGCACCGCACGAGGGGGGCGGGACCCTCCCGACCACGTCACGCAGGAGTTGGTCTGCTCTTCATCGCGAATACACATGGAGTTTCTGCACGCCGCCCCGGCCGAGTGCGTCAGCCATACCTCTCGCGAGCCCCTACGAGGCTACGACAGGATAGGACCTACGTGAGGCATGACTTACCTCCACCTTATGGGAGTTGTCACCTCCCTTCGGTGGGCGTATCCCCACCGAGCTACCAGTCAACAATACGAAAGTTAATCAGTTGGAATCGCAGAGTTGGACCAACCAAGGGCGTTTCTCGTACGCATAGGGGGGTGCGCACGACTTTACACCTTTATCGGACCCCCATGTGAACCGACGCCTCGGAGGGTTGAGGTCCCAAGCGCGACTTATCGTCGGTCAACTAGGACGCATCCCACGCACCACTCGTACACCACTTTAAGGACGTAGAAATAAAAACACACACACATACACATGCATATACAAAACACCACAGAACAAACAACGCGACAACACTCCTAGTCACGTAGTAGCCATCACATAACCCTCTAATGCGAAAATCGGATTGGCGATATGCGCGAGACTTAGTATAAGACTGCGCGGACGTAGGGCCTTCCCATATCGACTAGCAATGTATGGATACGCAATCAGTCGCAAAAATGGCGTACTGTGTAGTGCCTATAATCAAGATGTCCTTCGTGGAATACCGCTTATGACACTCAAGTGTCTAGCTCGAAGTATCGCGAGGGTTTACCCCTTCACGATATTGCACGGCTGAAGGAACAGCCGTACGGCCTCCGCGACACCTCCGGCCTTTAGGTTGAGTGTCCCGGTGGGCAGGGCAAATAGGCTCTGCACGCCCCCAATGCAGAATTCTTTAAAAAGCAAACAATCAGTAAAGGGAGGGAATTTTCCTTCCTTTCTCAGCCTCGACCTTAATTAACCCTTAAGCGTGGGCTCCTTAGGCCACGCGAACACTCAGCATAGGCATATACATGTATATATGTAAAGGGGGAATAAGTATGTGACGATCACTTCTCACAATCACAGTGAGGCTCCTCACAACCATATATATATATGTGCGATAGCAGGCAGTTAAATCCAAAATCCGAACCACATAATATACCTGCGATCACATCAAGGAGTTAACCAAAAGTCCACACACTACACGGAGTCAACTTTAACCAATTTCTATACTCATACCCCTCACTTTAGCCATGCAAGCCCTAGCCCTGTCTCTTATACACATCTAGATGTGTATAAGAGACAGGGCATATACATGTATATATGTAAAGGGGGAATAAGTATGTGACGATCACTTCTCACAATCACAGTGAGGCTCCTCACAACCATATATATATATGTGCGATAGCAGGCAGTTAAATCCAAAATCCGAACCACATAATATACCTGCGATCACATCAAGGAGTTAACCAAAAGTCCACACACTACACGGAGTCAACTTTAACCAATTTCTATACTCATACCCCTCACTTTAGCCATGCAAGCCCTAGCCTTTGTCCAATCTTCCACAATTAACTACTCAGTACCTTTGTTAAATGACCATTCAATAAAAGTCAAGGTGAAAACCTTAATAAAGCAATAGAAACCACCAGGGCTAAAGCCTTTTAGGTTGAGTATTGAGGATTAATTGGAGTTGAGTTGTAGGCCGAGGAATCGGCAACCAACCTGTTATCCGTTATAACAGAAGATGATCCTCTTGGGATCAAGTTGAATCTAGTCCAAATCCTGAATCAAACGATTGTGAGGACCTGTAACACATGACAGACCAATACCCAAGTTAAATTCAGAAGTGTATGGAGAACTCCATTACACATTCTCACCCTAAGTCCTCCTACAAGCTATACCTAGGCCTACCTCTAAGTCAGTGTCCAACGCAATGTAGACATATGGCAGTATGTCCCTTATTCAGGGTGGATTACCAGAATCGCCACCTGTCAAAATACAATTTACCTCCTATGAGAATTTCGGCAGCGTTTCCCGTAAGAAAAATATCTCCTCAGAATTTATATTAACTAAAATATGAAAACATAAACAATCTTCAATTCTGGAAAGTCAAATTTTGTCTAACCCCCTGAATTAGTAAAAAGTTGGGCAGCACTCCCTTTTTAATAGAAGACGTTCCAAATTTTTACTATGTCAGATGTGAACCCAGAGCAAAGACCTAAGTTCAACTAAGACAAAATTCAACCAACTCCTTAGATTTGTAGAAATTTCGGCGGCGCTTCCCGTAAAGAAAGTGCTGTTTCAAGATTTATACAAAGCTAAGTTTCAAATTTAGAAAATAACTTTGACTTCTCAAAGTCCAATTTTGTTTAACTCCTTGAATTAGCAAAAATTTGGGCAACACTCCTTTTAGAAAATGAGATTTCTCATATTTTTACTAAGTCATGTATATAATTTAGACAAACTGAACTTGTGAAAGCCAAAATTTGACTAACTCCTTGTTTTTTTATAACTTTCGGCAGCGCTTCCCGTAGAGAAAGTGACTTACCAAGATTTATACAAGACCAAGTATAATAAAAGATCCCAGAAAATGCAAAAATTGACCTAAGTAAAACAAAACATAACTCAGAAAATGCAGGAATTGAAACTACCTCCTATCGCTCTAGCACGTGGCGAACATCTAAAGCAACTACCTGTCAAACTGAAACCCAAACCAAGTAGTAATCTCACTCAGTCACATGCAAGGCCAAACCACAAACAGTAAGTGCTCTCACCATCTCCGAGTCAAAATCCTCAGATAGTTCATGAATATTTCAGATGAT